GGGGAGGGGGGGCAGGGGGCGCGGCGCGGCGTTGGTGCGGGGAGGCTCGCAGTAGGGGGCGGCCCGCTGGCGAGCGCGTGCTGAAAGACGGGAGGCACTTGCACCAAGAGGGCGGTGCCGCGCGCCCAGCCAGTCCAAGACACAGCTGCGCCTGCGGCCAGCGGCTGCTCGCAGGGACCGCCCGTCGATTGCCCCGTTGTGACAGCACGTGCGCGCGCGCGCGCGCGCGCGTGTGTGTGTGTGTGTGTGTGTGTGTGTGTGTGTGTGTGTGTCGTGCGCCCCTCCTCACCGGTCAAAGGCTGCGAGGAACTTGTACTTGAGGTAGGTGGCGTCAGCCAGGTCCCAGCGGCGGCGGCACTTCTCCAGGCTGCCCCCGTTGCCTGCAGGAACAAGAGGGGTGGACGGGCCGGCAGGGTGTAAGCACAGGCGAGAGAGAGAGAGAGTGTGTGTGGTTTGTGCTTCTTGTTGTCCTTGTGTTTGTGTAAGTTTGCATGAGGGTGTATGCGCGTGTGGATGTGTGTGTGTGTGTGTGTGTGTACGTGTGTGCGTGTGCGTGTGTGCGTGCGCGTGTGCGCGTGTGTGTGTGTGTGTGTGTGTGTGTGTGTGTGTGTGTGTGTGTGTGTGCGTGTGTGTATGAGTACATGCGTGTGTGCACACGCGTGTGTGGGTGTGTGTGTGTGTGCGTGCGTGTGTGTGTGGGCGCCTGTGTGTGTGCGCGTGTGTGTGCGTGTGCGTGTGTGTGCGCATGCGTGTGTGTAGGCGCGCGTGTGTGCGCGCTTGTGCAGGATTGGCCGCGTGCCCTGGGTTTGAGGAGTCGCATGGAGCGGCGCCTGACGGTGCGGTTTTCCCCCTCCCCACCCCGCGACCTGTCCGCCCAGGGTGTGGCGGGCATGGTGGCCGACATCCGGGGCGTCCTGCCCTACTTTGAGCAGATGGCCGTCAGCGCCGAGTGACGCGACCGGGTTTGGTGTTGACCCAATCGCGCTGCGGCGCGTGGCTCCACGCACGCAACACCTGGCGCTAAGGCGCTGGCGGCTCCCACCAGGGGCGGCAGCGCCCGCGTGGTCGGGCTCTGCCGGTTGACATCCTCGAACGCCGCCAGAGCGCTGTCCGCACAGCGGAGTAGCAGCTGTCGGGGTCAGGTCACTGCATCCCGGTCGCCTGCTTCGTTTCGCCGCCTGCCTGCCAAGGGTGCGGCGTTTCCCCTCATTCGAAGCTGTTCGTCACCGCTTTGCAGTGGCCCAGTCACATCACTGCTTTCCAGCTACACACAGCACAAAGAGCCACGCCACGCCCACCGCAGCAGTGCATATCCTGGTGGGGCACTCCCAACTGGTATTGCAAATCGGGCGAGCACGTGCTGGCGCCTGCAAACGCGTTAGGGGGTTGTCCCATCGAGACCATGAAGTTGGCCCCATTAAGGCACCTGTTCACCTGTTTGGCGATGAACGTTGAGCGTTTTTACAACTCAACAGGACCATGGACTATCGTAAAAATCAACAACCTACGCGTGGCAGGGCGATGCGGAGCCAGCGGTTTGGGATGCAAAAACTTTGGCTGGATCAAGGCCTGTGTGCCGGGGTCCAGATTGTTGACCAGAAACACTCCGCCTCGTGCCCAGCAGTAGGTGTGGATACCTTTCCACTCAACTTCGGATTGATTTCACTGCAGGCAAGTCCTGCGCCAGCAATACATCAAAATAGGAATGCAGTGCCAGAAGCCCGGCCATGCTTTGGGTTGACTGCCGGCGCTGGTCCAAAATATGAAAAGAGAGATCCTGCCGGCAGGGCTGATCGCCCCGTATGCTAAGGTGTCAAAGCTGTGTCATAATTCACTTGCAATTGAGAACAATTCACCGTGAGCAAAGTGTGCGCTCCCGCCTTTGCAGGCTCCCGAGCCCGCCCAGGTCGAGGTGCCCACAACGAAGATCGAGGCACAATCACGCGCGCTGGCATCCATTGGCGTAAAGTATAATACCACAGATAATACGCAGTACCTCTAAACGAGTTCTGTGTTGCCTCGAGCGCGGGTTTGCAGACTTGCACCCCACGGTCGAGCGATCTCCTCTGACAGCTTTCGTGGCCACCCCAGTTGTAGCAGAACGCCTGTCATGTTGCGTGCGGCTGGCGGCCGCTGTCGCTGCGGCGTCCATAGCAGTGCAGGCACGCATGCATCCGCCGCGGCTGCGGCGAACGCCCAGCGGGCGCGCACGTTCGACCCGCTGCGCCGCCACAGTCGCCGCCGCCGCGCGCGCGCCGCCATGGAGGCAGAGCAGCCCATGTCACCCAGCAGGTGCGCAGCGACGCCCCCCGCCGCACGGCCTCCGCAACCAGCCGCGGCCGCTCGGGAGTCCGCGGCCCCCACTGCTCCAGGGCGCACGCCGCGCGGCCCTGCTCAGCAGCGGCAGTTGCCTAGAGACCCTCTGGGTGCGCCCCTTTCTCCTCATGCCCCGCAGCGACTCATCCGCGCTCCCCGAGAACTTCTGCATCATCGAGAGCCGCGACGCCGTGAAGGTGATCACAACAATTGTAGTCGTTTGGACAATTGTAATTGTTTGGCCCCTCAGCAACGCCCCTCTCAACGCTCAGGCAAAGGGCCCCCGAGCGGCGTACGCCGCGGCAGCTCTTCCCAGGGTGGCCCTTTGGGTCTTCCCTGCAGCCCCAGCGGCCCCGCCCCGCCTAGGTGCAGCCCCAGCACCACCGCGCGCCGCGCCAGCCGGTGCTGCGGCTCCCAACACGCCCGCACCCGCTGCGCCAGACGCCCAAACTCCTCCTCTGACACACACGCCCAACCCAGCGCCTGACCCCCTTCAAAACATGCCTACCCCGCCCCCCTCCCCCCAACCAAACCCAGGACTTTGCCAGCCTGCAGCTTGATGAGATCAATGATAACATCACGTCGCGCCGCAACAGGATCTTCCTGCTCATGGAGGAGGTGCGGCG